GAAAGACCGGTGACGCGATAGACAGCGCGATTGCCCGTCTCACTTTAAAAGAAGGACGGAATAACTTAACCACTGAGGGCGCCACTTTCCGGGCAGAGACCCCAGTGCGGACTTCGGGTCTTACTCCAGGACCCTCTTAACCGCGGAGCGCGCGTTGCATCTGGCACGCGCCGCGGTGCGATCGATAAATCTCCGCGATTTCCGCGAGAAGGCGATGGTGTTGCTCCGACACGTACATCTCGTTCGATCGACCATTTATTTTGCTATACCAACAAGGGGAGTGATGACCGGAGATGACCCCTCGAGAGTTTTGCCAAAATTCGTTATAAAAAAATGTTATAAAAACTCGTTGATGTTTAAATAACCGAGCGAGATTTTGGTTTCCTATGTTTTGCGACATTAAAAAAAATCACGCGTATGTTATAACAATTGGATTCATATAACGTGTTTGCAGAACAATATTATGTTTCAAATGCGTTTTTATATTATTGTACGATACGTCAAACTTGGTAAAATCGAACGTTCCTATATCCCCTTCTGAATTGTTAGTGCAATATTGATTTGTGTGTGTGTGTGTGTGTGTGTGTGTGTGTGTGTGTGTGTATGTAAATATTGTTTGCGCGCGCGTAATTACAATTGATAAAAGCAGCAAATAGATAGTTGATATGTTTGATGAGAGGGGGGGATATTACAACTCACTTGTTGCTGCAACCCTCGTTGAGAAAGTAAAGGTCCTTGACGAGAAGGCTGAAGAAGGGCACTACGATCCGCTGGCGTTCGTCAGTGGCGCCAGCGCTACGCCACATTGCGGCCTTCAACGTGCTACGATAACTGCTGAAATTGCTGCTCGGGTCCATCTGATGTTCCAGGATTGAGAACTTGGCGGATTGCACCTTTGACCACTGGAAACAACACAGACGCGTCCTTTCTGTACATCGCGCATGTCATTTTTGCGGCGAAAAGTAGTTTATATTATTGTTACATTTCTTCCTCTTTTCAACACACCTTCTTCCTCCTCTTCAAAGTCATTAGAATAATATTTAGATAGTCTCTTATTAAAATATACGGGCGGATTTTTATTCTCGCACACACGTTTTTTTTATAAGAACGTTGAATTATTGAAGCAAATCCTTCTTTTTATTCAAAAAAATCTTTTCCACATTCTATATGCTTCGAGATAAAATATTCGAAATCGTATCGATTTCAAATCGGTATATGAACCCAAAGCCTTATAAATAATTCGCTATTTCGTAAAATCTTTTATCCCCGTAGATTTTGATTTTGATCCTGTCTCGCGGGTGCTTGATCTCGAGAGAATTCCTCCCTCCACTTCTGGTGGGAGCCATTTTTCTTGGCCCGACTCGATTCGACTTCGCCGGAAACGCTCGTCTAGAGCAAAAACAGTGGCAATCGGGGACTCCTGCCAGATCCGGTAAATTGAAACTGGATGCGGCAGAGAGAGGATGTCGGAATACGATCGTGTGGAAGGAACAGAATCTACTTTCCGGAAAAAGATCAGCGAAAAAATATAGGAACGAGAGCCGCAGTAGGAGACGCCAGTAGGAGACGCCAGTAATCAGGAATTTTTTTTTGGGATAGAAAAAAAAAAAGACAAAGGAAACGTTTTTCAAGCACCGATATAAGAAAGTCCGATGCTCGCAAAATTTGATCGGTTAATTTACCTCTGAGAGATAGAATTGTGTACCGAGCAAGTACGAAATCTAATTTAATTTTTATACATCCCCCCGTAGATATATATATATACCTCTTTTTTCTTTTTGATTGCAATTTTCTTGTCTTCAAGCGCAACTTGCCCTTCCGCACTTATTTAGTTTTCCTCCACTTGCTCTACCTTCTAAAAAAGTTTACAACTTACGACGACTCGTTTTCAAGCAATTTTTTTTTTTTTTCATAGCTTATTTTTTCTGCTCTGACAAGTAAAAGAATCTCATCATCAGGCGAGAGCGGGGATTTGGTATAATCCTTCGGTAGAAAACGAGAGACGACGCAACTTGAGATGCGCTGGATAGAAGCGGCAAAATAGTCGTGAACAAACGTAATTAGTTTTTTGAAAGGCGGAAAGTCTTTTCCACTCGCCAAGAAGACGATGTTCTTTGGAGATTATTTGCCTAGTAAATTAATCTCTGCCGCTGTGTGTGCGTGCGTGCAATATCGCATCCTCGCGACGTCATGTCTCTCCGACAGAACCGCGTATTCGCGATATAAGAAAAAAGATGAGTCGTGCGAAGTGATCCAACGTCGAGGATCTTTCCGAGTTAAAAATCAACCAAACTCGAAGATCGCGGCTTATATTTCTACACTTCGCGAGTAAAATTTATATACATAAAAAAAGAATTGAATTAATAAAATATACAAACAGTTTAAATAAAGATTTTAATACAAATTGCGCGCGTTTGAACGAACATTTGCATTTTCAAAACCGGAATCGGATACTTTTGAAGAAAAAAAAAAATTATTGAGCAACTTCATATTAAACTTTACATTTCGCCGGATATTACAATTGTTCAAACGCTCGATTTTTTTTTCAGCAACAAAAATGCTGAAATATCTCTCTATTAGTCGTCGAAAAAAAAAAATATTTATAGCGCGCGATTTTTTTTTTTTTATGAAACTCAATAATCCACGCAACGGCGCGGAGAGAAGGACCGTTTTTTTTTTTGCGCAGAAAATCGTCGAAATTTACGGCACGCAATTACGTTAGTCTCGATTATCCCCGCGCATATGAAAGGATCAGTTAATTGCTGACGATCTAACTGCCAGGAAGCGTATCACACATCGCATTGCTCTCTCTCTCTCTCTCTCTCTCTCGTGTGATAGTTCTATGAATGGAACCTCCGGTCGTACAAAAGTAAAGGGCATTAAATTTTCATCAACGAAAATTACCGAGCAAATCTTCCCCTCCCCGCGTGTCTCCGCCCTCTCCACATTGCAGACATGTTCGTTGATAGTTTCAGCAATTATTTCGCGCGGCCCGTTCTGTATAAATCAGCCAGCTCGGTCCAATGAACTTCCACACATATATAGGGCGTCCCGCGGTATCAAACGTTAGAGAGAAGGAAGAAATGTTCACCGAGACCGGTTAGTTAAACTCGTAATTGAAAACGAAGAAAAAGCATTTCCCGATATTTCTCATCACTCGCGATTTCCACTGCGGTTGTATTACTGAAACAAGACCGAGCGTGTGTACATGTTCCTCGCACGCGACAAACGCAAGTAATTTTGCGAATTTCCGGGGGAAAAGCACGTGTGGAAGGAGAGAACACGATACAATTTCGCGAGACGACGAATATCTCGACAATAATCGAGAAAATCTTTTATCTGAAATGTCTTCGGACGAGAACGATATGTGCCTCGGATTTTTCTTTCTTTCTTTCTTTCTTTTTTTTTTTTTCGTTCGTTCGTCACGCGATGGATGTAAAATTCGCGCATATTCCTCCGTCCGCCATTTTTCCGTGCGTGACTGGCACGTTTGTTCCTTCCCGCTGGCGTCGTTTCGCCTCGCATCGGGTAATATCGTTTGTCTCTCTCCGCTATTCTGGTTTGAGTTATAAAATTTCGCGACTAACGTATTCGAATTTGATGACGTATAATGTCGAGTTTGTGCGAACGGGAGAAGGAGAGAGTGGTCCGAAATTGGCCGGGAGATTGCAATTGCGGAGAAATACCAGCGCGCGCCCCCGGTATTCGCAACGTTACCGCGATGTGGCTTCTTTTCAATTTGCAATTCTCCTTCCGTTCTTTCTGGATCATTTATACGAGATCTCTCAAACTCAATCCGTATTGCGCTCGCGTAATAAGCTCGTCATTAGCGCAAAGCACTTGATAATGGTCATTCATTGAAGCATCTCGTAAAAGCTAATTGTATAAACGCATTAATTACAGTACAAATCCCGGAATAACTCTGATAGTCACTTGTTTAGCATTATTGCCGCCGCAAAAAATCTCGTTATAATCGTAATAAAGTATCTTCCGAGTTATATTTTCGAAACTAGGTATTTAATATTCATATCTTTCTTGTTTTTTTTTTTTCTTCTAAAGAGTTCTTTCTTATTATATTGCTCAGGTACATGTTGTAAATTAATATTTACAAAATATTTCCCCTTATATCTACATCGAAGAACTTGTTTTGAAAAAAAAAAAGAAAGAAAATTTCAAAATCACGCTGCGTTTCCGTAAAATTAAAAAATTCCAACTACTTGTGAATAATAAGCTCTGCAGCTTATTAAAAATTAAATTAAAAATGAAATTTTTTATACGCGCTGCAAAACGCGATTTGCTTCAACATTATTGAGATAAATATTCGATATGTGTGTGTGTGTGTGTGTGTGTGTTAGAGAGGAGGAAGGGATCGTTCCGTCGGGAGCGACGACGACTGGATTAAAGGAATTCCTGGACGGAGTGCATCCGCGTGGAAATCGAGAATACGTAATGGCGCGAGTCCTTCCCCGTGGGCGTGGAACGCCGGTCGGGCAATTAGCTAATTCCCAACGAGACGAAAGGAACGGCAATGGCGCGAGGACAACGTTGCCGAGCAACGCCGTTTGACTTGAAACTTTTTAATTAACCCAGATCGCGGCCCACATTTCGGGTCCCTTTCGCGCGACGCCACCGCCAACCGCGACAGGAAAAATTCAATCGAGCCAATTTGAGAGCCCGTGCACTTTCTTCTTCTTGTCAACAAGCGACGTGTCTCCTCCCCCGACGTCTCCCTCTTTCCGTCCCCGTCGCATCCGGAAATAATTTCGTATATACGAAGCTTTGCCGGAAAATAATTTCGCACGTAATAAAGTCTATGTTAATTCTACGAAAATGAAACCCAGAGCTTATCCGTTAAAATATCGCGGTGAGGGAACTCATTAAATAGCCCCCCCTCTTCCCCTTCCCATCTCCCCCGTCTCGTGTCTAAACCGGGCGTATATGTGGAAGAGCGAAAAGCGTTCTCTCGCGCGGGCGGTTCTTTTTCTCTGCGGTGAGAAACGACGCGAAAATTTGGCTCTCGGCGTTTTGTCACGCTCAATGTTGAACGTCACATGCCCGCGCCACGCTCGATTTACGAGGATTACAGGGCGCTTATTGCTCCGCCGCGCGATCCCGCGAAGAGGAGACGTAAACGAAAGGGGACACCACCGCCGGTCGCGCCATTATCTCCCCGCGCGTTAACGCGAAAAATGCGTCGGCGCTAACCGGTACCGTGCGGATTTTCGCACTTTTCAGAGTTACGCTCCCTCCCCGAGGTACGCGCGATCGAAAAATTGGGAGATTTATCGCCTGCATTGTCGCCAATTCCGAATTGCGAATAAAGCGTGTATCGATGCCGGTTTCAATTTGCCGGACGTAATTTCCGCGGAACTCGCAAAATCAAAGTAATAAAATTTCTCGAACAATTGCGTTTATTCAATATGTATTTCGACGGCAGAAAATATTCATAATAATAATGTATTGGACGTACAAGAATAAATTTATTATTAAAATTCAGTATGCGCACACGCGCGCATATATATTGTGTACCCCGTGCGCGCGCGCGCGCGCGCTCTATTTTATATTGCAAATATCACAGGGTCATTTCAACGTTTATACATTCGAAAACTATTGAATGTATTGCAAAGAGAACAATTTTTACGTGTTGAAAAATTAGAAAAAAAGTAGACCTGTGTGAACTCTTGGCGTTCTCGAATTTGCCAAAATTAATGTTCTGCCCGATTCGCACGGATAAAAAGAAACAAATGCGATTAAATTAATTTTTCATGTATTTTGTTAAATATATTTTTTTGTGCAATAAATTTATATCGCTAAACTGGCCGTGATGTGAAAACATTATTCGGTTTAAAAGGATTATGTTTTTGTGCTCACCGTCTTCTTCAAGCGGGATATCGGGGACATGTTGAGGCCGGCGATGATCGCCATCAGGGAATTAAAGTTGCCGATGTTGAAGCATTCTCTGGCGGTCTCGATCCAGTACTCGACGACGCGAACGCGTTGCTTTTTCTTCGCGTGCTGAGAAAAAGAGAGAAGAAAATTCTTGATTACACGCGCTACATACTCGTCAAATCTGAGACGTATTGAAAAGATATTTCTCTTTTTATAGTTTTTTTTTTTTTTTTTTTTTTTTTTTTTTTTTTTTTTTTTCTTTTGCTCCGATGCGTTTGATTTTGCTCAGAAACGAGAATGAGAAACGTCGCGAGAAATATATTGATACGTGTGGAAAAACGACGGTATTTACCTTACAGACTTCTGTCGCTACGAAGTAGCTCAGTCTGTTGAACCATTGAACGTACGATTCGAGATTCCGGGTTTTCTTCATATCTTTGAACGATGTTTCCAAATGCGGCGATTCCTGAAAAGAGAGACAAAGAAACAACAGTGTTCAAAATTTATATGCCAACGTGATCGATCAATTGTGTCATTACTATGAGAAAAAAATGATATATAGATTTTTTACATGAATGTTAAAGGAACAAACGTTTTCTATAAAAAAAAAAAATAAATAAATAAATAACACTCACCTTGGCGAAGGCCTGTACGAATTCCTCGGGTCCGATATAAGAGAGCCTCTCGAGTTCCACGTGAGTCAGTTGTTGCGCCAATACAGTGGCTGATGGACAAAGTTCGGTAACGTCCACCTGAAAGAAGAAATTGAGAAGTTCTCAATTTAAATACAACGTGAGGCTACACACAAGAGAGAAAAGGGAGAGGGAGAAACAATAAGAAAAAAACAAACAAACAAAGCCATTACACATGCAAAGAAGGAAGAAATCTCGTAACAAAATAAGCATTTATTCCGGTTGTCAAGTCTCTTTTTGACTTTTATACTTTTCCTACGCCAGCAGCAGGACTTTGTCCTTCCAGCCGGGCTTCGATTTCTTCGCTCGTCGTTCCTGCTCGCTTTATTCCATTTGACTCGTCGGCGATATTCGCTCCGATGCAACATCTCAAAGGCCGGCAGAGAGAAAGAGAAGTGAAAAGGGAAGAAAAAGAGAAGAATGCAGCTCTCCGTGCTTTTTGGTGCTGCACCTTTAACACCGTCATCGCAACCCCGTCGTCGTCGTCGTCGTCGTCTTACGATGAGTGTGAACGCGTGTACACGCGGATACGCACACGCTTTGGCAGCTTTAGGGTGTTAGAAGAGAAACGGACGTAAAGAAAGGTGATAAAAATATATGGGGTGTGCGATAATAACCGTATCATCTCTCGTGGACTAAATTGTATATTTATTTGAGTCGAGAAGTCCTTTGCCATTGCGAGTTTTGCAATAATTGATGCGTTATTAATTTATATATTGATAATTAATGTAGTTTCGCGATAATTAATGAGTTATTAATCCACATAAAGATCCGTGAATGTGCGTCAGCCGTGAAGAGACTCTGCGTTTCGCGAGCTCACGGTTGAAAAGATTCAATGAGAGAGAGCGTTCTATATAAATAGTAATGGCTATTAAATAATAATCTTGATTTAAAACTTGCGAAGACGTTTTTCTTTTTTTTTAATTACAAAATGTATTATTAATATATATATTTTAATTAAAAACCAAATGTGTTATTTATACGTTTTAATTAAAGATCAAATCATAAAAAATTATTTAATTGTTAATTATTTTGATTGAAGATCAAACTCCTCCCGCCGTGTCATCGCGCGCGCGCGATATGTTTCCTCACGCACACACACTTATTCTTCATTAATTAACAACTTATTAATTATTGCGAATCTCGGTAGAGAGGATTTTATCGAGACTCATGTCTCTATTTGACCTACGGTGATACGAGATTATTACCGGACACCCTGTATGTATTTCCCGGCCGTGGCGAAGAGATGGAAAGACGTCGCCGAAAGGCGGCGAATAAAATCACTGGGCCGTGTGATCCGTTTAGAGAGGAAATGGCACTCCGGAACGGACTCTCCTCCATCGAATTATATCGCCGATCATATTATCCGAGCCCCAGGCACAGGAGTGGACAGAGACTAACTAGGAAAGCAATTTCTTTGACGAGAAAGATTGCCGGGAGATGAAAATTCAAGGATTTTTTTTTTTCGTACGATACGAAACTACCGCTTTGGAGAGAGAGGAGATCTTTGGCAAATGATATATTACCGTTCCAAACATTTCCGCGGCGCGCAGTTAGGACACAAGATAAATATTTTTGTACGGGATAAAAACACAATCTTTTAAAGATTTTTCCACGACGCTTTAATTAAGTCCTCGCGGCGAGAGAGACACAAAAACAATGAGATGTTTCGTCACTTTATGAGCAAACCGAGCAATGGCAGAAAAGTAGACGCGACGAGAAGAGAAGATTTTTGTCGCCGGTTTGACGGTGGAGAGAAAAAAAACGTGGAAGTTAGCGCGTCGAAAAAGTTACGGGAAATTCGTCGAAAAACTTTCATCCCGTGGACTTTAGTTGTGAACTTTCTATCCTCGTGAAAAGTCAATCACAGAAAGGTCATTTTTAACACCGATGTTGAACTCTCTCTCTCTCTCTCTCTCTCTCTTTCTCTCTCTGTTTTTCTCTCTGATTAGCAAATTAGCTTCTCATTAAGAAACATAACGAGACGCCATTGTTTCGCCGCCATTGAGACTGCGACCTAATAATTTAAAATCGTGTAATCCCCCGTCTTTTTCATCGGTTATCGAGTGTGGTGCGCGCCTTGTTTCGCTTCCGCGGTCAATTACGATAATGAAATCAGCATGGGACGAACGGAGTTTGTTCGGCTGCGGTTTACTGGGGCAAAGTCGTTGAAAAGACCTAATCGGTCGGCGAGGCGAGGTTGCGAGTTTGCTCGGAGATTTGCCGGAGGAGGTGTGATAACATCCCTTTCCTCCCTTCCCCTGTACCCAAAGAAGCGTCGCTGTGTTGCGCGCGATATTATGCAAGTATTGTTCCGCTTCGCGGGATCTCATTGCGAATTCGCGTGATTTCTTGCTTCAAATGATTGAATGGCGCATCCCCATCGTGTCGTTGCGTCACGTTGTTTCACGGTGAATAACAACAATGTAAAAAAAAAAATTACGCTGATGTAACAAAACAAACAGAATGTACAAGCCGGAATGAAAACAAAAAAAAAAAACTTCTAAAACTCGATGTGAAAAAATGTTTTTCTCTTTTGGCACTGAAACTTCCTTTTCCGCGGAAGCTTTCGCACCTAATTAATGTCCTGGAGTGCAACTTCTTCAATGTGAACACATGTATCATAATGCGTAATGTGTTTTAGCCGCTTTTGCCTCACATTCTAATTAGCTCAGTTGCGAACTGTTTTCGGATGCTGCTTCGCCAGCGAAAAGTTCAACAATCATTTCCGAATTATAATTAGAAAGTGTGCGGGAAGTTTTTTTTTTTTAACACACGTGTGCACAAACTTTTTGGTATTTAGTGTAAAAGATTTACGGTTTTTTACGTTTAATACTTCATTAATACAAATCGTAAAATATAGTAAAAAAAAAAACAACCGTAACAAAAATACACAGCGTAAAGTTTATTTTTATTTCCGTGCCCTCGCCTCGTTTTGAAAAATCTCCGCGAGATTCAGGAAAGTAAAAAGTGACGCGTCTTCTTCGCGAAGTTTCGTTTGACGAAGCGAGACCCGGCGAATAAAATAAATTGAAAGTTAAAACGAAATTTTTCTAACGACGACGACGACGACGCAAGATGGAGAGCGGCGCGCTGTCGTGATCCCGAGGTGTTTCCTCCTCGTCTGCTCCTCGAGATACAGAATGCACTTGGAAAGTTGCTCGAACAAGAAAGAAAACAAATATCGAAAACTCATTATTGGTCTCGTAAGTTAACTTTCTCTTCTCGTCTCAGATCGAAAAAAACAAAAAAACAAAAAAAAAAAAAACAAAAATAGAGAGGCGGTCTTTTTCTTCGGGAAAGAGGCGCGTTACACGGTAACGAACGACCGTCGACGAAAGTCGCCGGCGAAACTAATAATTCCACTCTTTTCCGCGCTCGAGATTATTTGTGTCGACGGATAGAAACGTAGTTACAGTTTCGAAATTCACGAGCGCGAGCCGGAGGACAACAAAGTTCCTCGAGCCGTGTATCTTCTCACGTATCCCAATTAAGGAACGACACACGTGATGTCGCCCCCGTTGTGAAGAGGAGGCGTAACGTATAACGTATCGCGCCGTATAATTTATGGAGCGGATAAAAAAATCCTCTCGAGGCTTAAAGGACGAGAAACTCCGAAACTTTTTCAGGAGCTAAAAATAAAAGCGCGCGTCGAGAGAAGGAGAGAGAGAGAGAGAGAGAAAAAAAAAAACTTACGGTATTAAGACCGAATTATTGGTCTCAAGAGTTATAACTCGTTTCCACGGAACGAAGTTGCCGTCACCGTGGCACGTACAGAACGAAAAAGCGCGGCGAAGCGAACTTGCGGTTTAATAAGCCGGGGGAGCTTCGCGAGAGCTCGACCGCCGTCGTCTCTTCTCTTCTCTTCTCCTTCACGTCTCGCGTGTCTTCCTCCCTTCTTAGTGCTTCCTTCTTTTTGCGTGCTCTCGTCTTTCGTTTCCCGTCTTCAAAACGGGACAAGTAATCTCCGCACGAACCACGAGCCACATACGTTTCAAAAAGGAACCACAGACGAGCTCGACGAAATGACTTCCATAGGAAGGTTTTTTTTTTTTTTTTGGTGTAACGTATACAGCGGACAAATGACGGCACGGTTTTTTTATTACTTGCCAATTATTGTTGTTTCTTTCAAAGTAGCTTCCGCTACAAAAAGTTATATACGACGAAAACTATAACACTGTACCCTTTTATCGGCGGCTCTCTCTTTATTGTTAAAAAGAAAACGGGGATTACGCGGGCGCAAGGCGGTATCGTGAAAGAGTAATATAAATTGTTATCGTATATTTATTGCGTCCTTTACATAAATCGATATCCGCGCGCGCCGGGCTTGCACAAAGCGCAAGGGAGAACTGCGTTTTCATATCCGGGAAAAATTGCAAAATTGTCTTTATTTTTCTGGCAGAAATTTAGCGACATTTGCCACACGCTCGGCAAATATTGCAACTCTTTCGGAGACCGCTTTAATATTCTTCGAAATTCGCCGCGAAAATTCTATCTCGTGGTTTTAATGGAAATTTTCGTTTTTAAACAATATTCTTCGTCTTCCGTAAGTATAAGTTTCGTATTCACGGCGCAGAATTATGGCGCACGTAAATTTGCCATGGATTTTCGTCCGAACCGCGTCGTTCACCATCGTATTACTCGGACGATTCAAAGTGCCGGGCGAAACTATTCAGTTTACCGTAAACAAAATATTTTCGCCGATATTTCAAATGAAATATTTTCGCAAACGCGCGCAATTTCGATGAACATCGCGCGCGATGTGCGATTATCGCGAGCATCTGATACAGAAATGCTGCTTTCACCGAACGAAAGAGAGAGAGAGAGAGAGACAGAGAGATAGAGGAATTCCGTCCACGCGCGTACACACGCACGCTCGTTTACGCGAAATGCGTCGCGCGCATTCGCAAAGAGAGAGAGAGATGCGACCGCATAATTTCGCGCTGCTGATTAGCCGCAGTGTGTGACACACAGTGTCCGGCATACTTAACTAACTAATGTAGCTGCAAATTACCTATTAGCGGGTATAGCGAAATAGACGCGCGATAATCAAATTAACCGAATGGTTAACGTCTGCTCGGGGCCGGAAACTGCGCCGTTAACCCCGTTAACACTAACCCGAGCGATTTCGTGGGCGCGACTTGGCGCGAGTGTGTTTGTCGCGTCGTCATTCGCGAAACGCACCGACCGCTTTACGGTAATTACGGCGCGCGTAACGGACACACAAACGAACGGAAGCGAGGGAGAACAACGCGGGAGGACGCGAGGGAATATTATCGCTTCATTATGCTAGAAGTCCTCTCCAAGGATCGATGCGATTACGGGTAAATCGAGTAATCGTGCTTTGCAACACGGCAAGCCGGATTACGCGAGGGTATATATTCCATATTGAAATTACGAAACAGCGGGACGCGCTCGGGTCAATGCGCGCGACTGACCGAGAGGTAGCGCAAGCGCGCGCAAATATAATACTCTCTTTTTTTCTCTCATTATTTCGTGGCTTATCAGAACTCAGATTGCGTAAAGCTCTTGTGCGGAATGCGCGAGTTATCGCAGAAAATGTCAACCCGGATTGTTGTGTAAAAATCGTTGATTTAGTTTTTTGTTCCCTTTTTGTTTTTTTTGTTCTTTTTGGTCGCGCGACCGAGCAAAACTCACGGGCGAAACTTTACGTTGACGCGGTGAGATATAGGTAGGTGCGATGTGCGCGCACACAGTTCGTTCGGAAAACGTCGCGCTAAGCCACTAACTAAGCCGAGGCGGGAACACAGCGAAATGCAAGCTGACGGCCGCAAATGGGCGCGCTTGTAGCGAAACTCGACGAACCTGTGTAAGCTGCTCCGTCGCTGCCTCGGTCGCCAGTCTGGCCAGGCCCTCCTCGTACCTTTCCAGAGCCGTCAGTCGTAGCAGCAAGTTTTGCAGCAGCGCCGAAACTTCCTGCCTGGCCGCGGCGTCGACCGCAGCGACTTTCTGCGTGATGGATCTGACGTGGCCCATCACCCTCTCGTCCCGAAAGTCGTACGGGAATGTTTCCGTCCATTCCGCCAGCAGCTGCACCAGCCGCGGCACGAAGCGATGCAGTCGTTCCTGCGAGATAGAGAATGCGCTTGTTGGATTTTTAACGTTCCCCATACCCTTCGTTTTCCAATAACGAGGATAAATTTCGAGGAGAAGCAACTCGCCACGTCTCTCGGCCGTGGAATGTAACGTGACGAGGGAAAAACGTGAGAGGATGAAGCCAGGAGAATACACCGCACGTTTACACTTTGCGAAACGTTAGTTAAAATTACCAAACGTTACCGGATGAGGCAAATATTAAAGTGATGTGTTAAATCAACATCTTTTCTTTGCGAACGGCGAGAAGAATGGGAAGAGGGTTTTCAAAAGAAAAGGATTTTTGTTTTGTTCCACACAGTGTGAATACAAGGATCGGGAGTGGATAGAATGAACGAGGAAATGGGGTGTGCGATCGGACGAGGGTGCGCGATCGTGTGATGAAACGATAATACACGCGGAGAGGCCTTCGTTGGCGTTGCGTGATATCGGTAAAGGATTTTCGTGCCGGTTCGGCAGGAAAGCACAACAGGGAAAGAGGGAGGGATCGAGGGAGAGAGTATGCTCACCTTACCGCCCTCGCCATTCAGATTCTGCTGATGCTCGCAGAGCGCGCAAACCTCGCCCAAAAGCTCGTGCGGCTTGATGAAGAGCCTGGCGCTCAGCAAAAAGGCGAAGAGGTACGCCCGATCGGGATAATAATCCTCCGTAGGCACCATGTGCTGCACCAACGCCTCGAGTGAGCCCGAGACGAGGTTGCCGTCTCGGTACACCAAAGCCTGAAACAGTATACGGATCGAATTGAGAGCGCGGCGTAACGCGAGACGAAACTCGGCGCGCACTTCCCCGCGGGTGGACCGATTATAATAAGACTTAACACATATGCAACGAAATTACGAAAGCGAGACGCCGAAATATTTCCGGACGGCGTTTCCATCGTTACTCGTTCGGCAGCTAATACACTCGCATTAACTTCTTTCTAAATTAATTTTGTTAAATTAGCTCAACGCCATTAAAACGCGCATTTTTCATTTTAACGTTCAACGCGTTAATTAAATAAACGTTGAGGATTTTTTATTACTCGGAAAATTGAGAGGAAGTCAGCGATTACTTTGCGCAACGATTGCGCGATTACATCTTATGATTTTTATTTAGGATTACTATCCTTTCTAGAAAAAGCGTGTGTAAAAATAATCACAATAGATTCTCTCGATATTGATTGTTGCCACTTTTATCTCGACGCTGATTGGACGTTTCTCGGATGTGTTTCTCAATTCATGTCGTACAAACCAAGAGACACGGTAATGCTTCTTATACGCGCAATTCATGCGATTGAGAAGTAAGGAGATTTTCATGGAGCAATATCTCAAGAACAACTGAATCGATCACTTTCGATCACTTTTAGTCTCAAGACGCTTCAGAACAAAAGACTAAAAAAAAGTATTCTTGCGTTTTTTAAAGTCACGTGACAGGGAGAAAAGGAAAAACACTACGTGACTGCAGTCACATGACTTTCCTTTAGTCACGTGTCTTTAAAAACATGACTAAAGTGAAGTCATAAAGAGGAAATAAAAACCAACACGTGACAGGGTGGAAAGGAAAAACACCACGTGACTAAAGTCACGCGACTTTACTTTTGTCACGTTTTGAGAGACACCTGACTAAAATATAGTCGCGTGACTTTACTCACGTGTTGTTCTTCCCTGTCACGTGACTTTACTTTAGTCACATTTTTAAAGACACGTGACTAAAGTATAGTCACGTGTTGTTTTTCCACTCCTTCTTTTCACTATGTTTTGATTTTGATTTTTATGCGTTATTTCTGACATCTCTTTAATGTGTGTTATATTGTTTGTAAGACGTATATATACTATCTGTCATCGCGGTTGTGTTCACTAACATAATCATTAAAATAAAAACAATAATACCGTGCGCGTAGCGCGCGCTTGTGTTGTGCTAGTATTGTAAGAAAGATATGTGTAATCCAGGACACTTGACATGAAATTCATTAATTTCAATGTTATTGAGAACGTCTACGACTTGTAAGTCAAATCAGTTTTTTTGCTTTCTATAAATTTTTTCTTCTTCAACTTTTACAATCACTCATTTAAAAAAGTCAAAGCCGGGACCGGACCAATCCCATCCAACAGCTCTAGATTTATTGTACGTGTTTTGAAAGGTAATTCATGTATCCAAGTGCACACATGTGCAAAGTTGTTTGATGTAAAAAAAAAAAAAAAGAAAGAACAAAAGGGGAAACGAAAGAGAGGGCGAAGGTGCGCGCGATTATCATTGGCGTCATAACTTATTCACATGATGTTTACAGAGGAGCCGCGCGCGCCACAAACAATGGAGTGCATTATTGCGGTGCTTTTCGAGCTTTTTCCGCGCCGCGCGCGTCTCTTCATACCGCGCAGTATGTCGGACTTTCGCGAGTTGATACATACGTGAGCGGAATGCGGAATTTGTCGGTGGTAGACACCACCGAACGCTTCCGCGCGCACATTTGAGTTTAGCTCGTTTCGAAGTTGGGCAAATACTAAATCTGCGCATCGCCGAGTTGCACTCACAGCGCGCCGAGGCGAGCTCTAACAAGCTGTCGGGGATTCAAATTGGATTCCAAACTTATCGCGTCTTAATGCGATATTGACGAGAGAGAGAGAGAGTGGTAATATTTTCGCCACAAACGAGTTTCTCTCTCGGCACGCGCGCGCGATTGCTTCGATAATCGACGATACCGCGCTCAGCCGAAATCATCATCCCGCGCTTAATCCAAATTCGCGCTCAACGTACAGATAATTATGCTCGCTACGCGCGCTCCCCTGCCGCAATTAATCTCCTCGATAATCGATGAATGATGGCTCTAACGAGGTGGATATCGAATATCCAACGCGATAACGAAACCCTCCGCGTAACTGAGTGTCGCTGGAAGGAAATATCGATAAAAAAAAAAAAAAAAAAAAAAAATTGATAATAACAATCTTCATTGTTTCGCGTTGTTTCGCGCGACGAAACTTCCACTTTACATCGCGCTAATTGTTTTCGTATATTAGTCCCATGTGCTTTGGGAAGCGCATTCGGTTAACTGGTAAACTTGTATGATCCACGGAGGATTCAAATGGCTTAAGCCGAACTTCCGTTAATGCAACATCGACGAGATAACATTTTCGCCTCAACTCGCGAGCGATGTAGAAAGTTTCAGCGCCAACAGCCGGTCCGGAGGTTGCGCGCGAGTTAATGCGAAAGTGTGAAAATCCACTTCGAGTGGATCCCGTACCACCCTAAATTTCTCTCTAAAACCCTCCCGACTGATTAAAGGTAATTTTATTATCTCAATAATGCATTCGTTTTCGCGCGCGCGCGCGCGCACACACAACTTGTTTTAATACGAGAACGCGCCTCGAAACGCGCTAAAACGTCGGAATTTCCTTGCTGCATAAGAGCATTGCGTAATCTCCAGAAAGAAAACCAAACGGGAAGAGCAATCTCATTCTCCTTCTTTCTCGATATTTATTGCGAAAAAACTGTTTTCTCGCGCGCTTTCGTGAAAATTTAAAGCACGCGAGTGTTGCAACGTCTTTAGTTTCTCTCTCTCTCTGATAATGTTATTTTTCTGTAATTTTTACTCTGATAATTTTCTCGCCGTCAAGAATCAAGAAATTCGCGAGGGTGATGTACATGGAGAGAGCGTCCGACAATAACCGTGTCATCCCTCTCGTGGGCAAATTGTACCGAATCGAAAAGTCCTTTGCCATTTTGCGAGAGAGATCCGCAATAATTAACGAGTTATTAATCAATAAAGAATGAGCGCGCGCGCGCATGTCCGCGTGACGAGACATCGTTTCGCGGACACAATGGGAGGACATTTGGTTTTTGATGAAAATGAGTAATCAATTATTAAATAATTAATTTATAAATAATTAATTTGTGGTTTGACGTGTGATAAAAATAAACAATAACTTAATTTTAATTTGGAAAAACGTTCTCGCGTTTTTTCAAGATTATTAACACAGGCTGTTGTTGTTTATAGAGCGCTTCTCGCGTTGAGTCGTCTGGCGCGCCTGGCAACCGTGAGCTCGCGAAAAAAAACGCTGGACTGTCTCTCTTCGCGCTTATTCAATTTGTATTTAATGTTGTTTGTATTTAATTAACAACTCAAATTAATTATTGCGAAACTCGCGACGAAGGTAAAAGACTTTTTCGACTCGGTTCAACCCCCCGCTCGACCCGTTCACGGGGAAGACGGAAGACGCGGAGACATTCCGCGATTTCGATCACATTGTTCTGCCATCCTCCTCTTCGGGCGCGCGAATATCATATCTTTATAGAATCTTCGTTCGTAATCGTTTTCTAATAAATGTCACGAAGCCGTGTTAGCACTTCAATCCCATCGTGGTAGATTTTACGATGGCGGATGAGTATTGTTCGAACGGGACTTTATGTGGCTTTGAGAAGTTTTAGGTTCAATTAGTTTATTGAAACGGAGAGAGAGAGAGAGAGAGAGAGCGCTCGCGCGCGCGAGGGAGGTCGTAACGGTGTACGGCACTATTACGAAGTTTCCACGGGTCTTAAAGCGTCTCCATCCGTGCCACCTATTTCCCCCGTTAACTGCGAGGTAACAAAGTGAATACCTCTGGTGTGGCGTTTCTGGTTTCTCTTTTCCGTGTTCTCCATACGGCTTACGCCTGTTTTCGGAAAGGAATAAAGCCATTGTAATTGGGGAAGCGCGTTCAATCAAGCGCGCGCGCGCGATATCGTTTCACTCTGTGTTTCACTTTTTCTTCCTACTATCGTCCCCGTGTCGTTGGAAATTGTATTATTTCACATCGGGTTTTAATCTCCCCCGCGTTGGAGACCAACGTTACACGAAAACCGTAACTTAAAAAAGGTCATTACTCTTGTCCGTTATTTTCTTGTTACACAAGAGAGGGTTGATGTTCCCCCGGTTTACATGCAATCTTCTCTTCCTTCTGCAGAACTGTTTTCTTTTGTTTGATTCTCTCTCTTTCTCTCTCTCTCTCTCTCTCTCAACATTTTTATTCGCACAATACACGACGCGATAAAAGTATAATCGATTTTTAACGATCAAAAGTGAATTTTCCGGGAAATCCTCTCTGATGATAATAAAGTATATATACATACATTGTGTGGAAAACGGCGCAATTAGGTGGCGACTTGTCAAGGGGAAACCGCCGGACGAAAAAGGTCTTACGTAAGGGGAAAAAATCGGACGAAAGAGAGAGATAAAAAGTTAAGTAGGGCGCTTCTCTTAGAAAAAAAAAGAAGCTGCTCTCTTTGCAAAGACTAATCGCAAGGCTGATGAAAAATGAGAGGAATCAAGAAGGACAGGAAGTAAAGTTTCTCCTAGATTGTGACGGAAAGTTTAACTCACTTTTATTCAAAACAAAAGAAAAAAGAAAATAAGCGCGGCCTCTCCGAGGCGGCTCGCACAGAAATGCGAGCGAAGGTCTAACGAACGAAAAGCGCGGGGGAACATTTTGCACGCGAGATTAATCAGACGAAAAAAAAAAAAAAAAAAAAAAAAAAAGAAACACGCGGTACCCCGAGCTCCTTTGTACTTTGAATAAAGCTTTTAACATCCGCGATGTAACTCCGCTCCGCTTTACGTGGCTTATTAATGCGACGACAAAATGCGCAGAATGTTGTGTCTTGCGAAAAATCGCCGTGTCGAAGAGAGAGAGACATGCACAAGGCGAACTTTCAAAATGTAAATTGAATACGTGGAAGATGGCAATGCCCCTTAAAATGGATATCAATG